TACATTGAGTGTTTGCTTTGGAGGGCTTTTAAAGGGAAAAACAAACAAACAAACAAGACAGAGGAGACAGAAAGACAGTGTCAATAAAAAAAAAATTCCTTAATTAAAGTGCAGGGAACTGACACCAAAATGAGATAAACCCTACCTTGCAGCTTTTATAGGAAATTGCATATCCCAGCAATCCTGATCAAGAATTCAGATCATTTAGGAAATTAAGGAGGACTGGTTCTTCAGAGGAGTTCAGCACCAGCAACTCCCACTTGATTTGGTCACTTCATTACAGTGTTCTTCCAGAAGATAAGGTCTGGCCAAAAATCAGCCTTTGAGAAAAAGCAGATCTTTTATGCAGGACTGGCACCTTATCTCGATCAGCAGTCCCTGCCAGGATGGCTCCAGTCAAGTCCCCGTAGAGCATCCCAGGTCCCTCGGCATGATGGAGAAGCTCCCTGACAGCACAATGGGTTAGCAAAGAGCTACCACCTCCCACCAGAACACACACAGCTAGGTGTGACCCCCTCACATCCAGTGTTCATGTCATGGGGCAGCAGAGCCACCAGAGTTAGCCCAGATCACTTGTTGCGTGATGCCCTGGACTCCATGAATGAGGCACCTTGGGCATTGCAGATGCAGGGGACATGCACTTATGCAGGAAAATTTGGGCAGGTGGTACTTAGCAAACAGCCTAAGAGCTGAGTATCCTTCCCAGGACGGTGCCTAACAAAAGCAGGGATCCATTTTCTCAGAGGTAACTCCTTGCAGGCTCTTGTGGACCAGAGCAGACATTTTCTTTCCTTAATTAAGAGAGGCCTTGTCACTGACACCTTGCTGCAGCAGTCTCACACACCTTGCCACAGGGTGACAAGATGAAGTCACAGTGGCCAGCACTGTACCAGCGCCTCCTTTGTGCTGACTGCACTGCCTGTAGGAAACAAAGCAAGATTGCATGGCCAAATTAGGCTATTCCCAAGCCAATCTCATCGTCTGCTCATTCCAGACAATCTCATGAGGCATAGCTTTGAAGAAGGTTATGGTCACATAATTTGTATTACCACAAGTGTTATCACAGACTATTATCAGTGAAGATCACTGCACCAGATGAAAGCTGATGTGAGCACATGAGGAAGCAATCAGCCTGCAGACAAACTGCTCCTACACTGTAGCCATGAGGTTCCTGACATTGCCCCAGACTGATTCAGTTTCCTTTCCAAGCAGGGAGACCCTAGCAATGGCCTCCCTTTCAATAGGAATAAGCAAACAATGGTCTGTTCGTGATTCTCACAGGCTAACAACCCATACATTGGACTTACTTGTTTTAACTGTTTCTGATGTGTTCAGCTTGCTCTCACTCCTGGTGGTGCTGCATCTCTTCTCCAGCTTCCCTCATCAGGTGCAGAAGCATCTGCAGCAGCTAATCCAGGATGTCAGGTCCATCTGCTCCAAGGAGATGAGCACTGCAGCTGGGTCCCTTTGTCTCTCTGTCCCAGTAAACCCATTACTTGTCCCCACCTGAAAATGCTGGTAACTGTGTGATTCACCACCAGTCTTAGGAGCAAGCACTGACCCATCCACAGGAGAGTACTGCTGCACTAACTAGAACATGAGTGGTTGCAACTCTTGGTATTTAGCACTCCTTCCAGGGCTTCAATTCATCAGGACAAAGGGACCTTTGCTACAGGAAAGCATAAGATCAAGGCTGAAATTCAGAATCACATTGCCTGATCCCACCTTGATATAATATAAAATCATCTGTGTGCTTAGAGTGTGACAGCTCAGAGTCAAAGAACAGAGTTTCAAAAAGTTTCCTTGCTTTTGAAAAATTTTAGTTTCAATAACCTTACTCTGCCTGGATTTAACAGACCTGACTTACCTGCTACACCAGCCAGACCCACAGAGATAGATGCTCCTGATTTACACCAGAGAAGAGAATCACAGCTTGGCATGCTGGTTCTCATTTACAAAGAATTTGTCCCAGTCTGAAGGCACACAGGAACTCTGCAGTAAGTATAAACTACCACTGTTCGGTCAGCATGCACCGACAGTACATAACTGGAAATCAGGATACTGTCTCCATGTCTAGTCTTTACTAGTAGCCAATGGCAGATTAATGGGATGTGTGACAGTCAGTTGAACTGAAGCTAAAATGAAATAAAAGGGAAGGTACATGTATCTTCCTGCCTGGCAAAGTACTGAATATATGAATACTGCAAGCAGATCCCATGGGGAGAACCATGCTTATAATCACAGTTTGGCATATTTGCAGTTATGGGTCCCAAATTTAAAAGTAATCCCAGATCTAACAAAAGGAATGAGGAAGAAGAAAGAGAGGTGAATCTTTGTGCAGATGCATGTACAAAAGCAAAACTCTTTTCAGTGTTAATGAACAGACAGAAAGACACAAGGGGAACAGGATCATACTAGCATTTCTCATTTCCATCTCTAGCCAGAGTAAAATCTGTGTTCTCAAAGCACTATCATTGACACACTGAGAATCACGTCCTGAAGGCCTCACGGTGCTTACCAAAGCATCCTTACTGCTGGGAAAAAAAAAAAAAAAAGGTAATAAAACAAAGAGATGGCCCACTCATGGAAGTGAAGACAAAGGACCAATCACCTCTCATGTCCGAAGTTTTCTGAGGCCAGTTACACAGAACACAGAAGTGTCCCTCCTCATGTGTTGATGTCTGCCCCTTGAAGGGCTGTTTTCCTATCTAGACAAAACAAATGCTCAGGGCCACACCTTGCATTCAGTAGTACTAAAGGTGATGGGGTTGACTGCAGGCAATGCTTGATTTCTGCCTGTCAGCTGCCTGTCCTGGACAGCACAAGCAGTATTTGCACCCTTGACTCTGTGAACTGGGGTCCACGGTAAATGCTCCAGAGAGCTTTCCAAACCCTGGGTGAATGCTACCTGCAAAGATGCGAGCACTTGCTAAGATCTATCCCCGCCTTCCTTCCCCTCCAGCACCACTCAGCTTTGCTCTGGGGCTCAGCAGAGTTGCAGAGCTTCACATAGGGGTGCAGAAGAGCCATGAGGGGAATGCAGAGAGACTGGAGAGGCAGAAGAGCCCATTTGCTTCCCCACCGGTGTGGATTACTCACCAGTGGGTGCTGAGAACATCAGTCCCACAGCGGCACACTGCCACCCTGTGGAAACAGTCCTTCTCCTCGCACGCAACTTGGGAAGGACAGGGGGAGATGGATCACTGCTTCACTTAGGCTCATCAGCTACAGTGCTAATGCACCAGCAAACCATATGCACTTTGGCGCTGTGCTGAAGCACGGCTCTGTGAATTTAATTTATTGAGACTAATGCAAATTTAATTTCTGCTAAGTCTTTGTAATCACATATCTAGTGGCAAGGAGGCTGCTGCGGACACAGTGATGTAGCTACTGAAATGCACAATTACTGCCAGTCACTCCACTCCCCCTCTACTGATAAATTAAAACAACAAGGGGAAAATCATCAGCAAATCTTCAGACAAGTCAGATGAGAGATGGAGGCTGGGCACTACCTCTATCCCCCAGACATCAGGGCAGCACGCAGAAAAGGGCAGAAAGACTCAAACAAGGCAAGACACCAACACAAGGTTTATTCCAACCTACAACCAAAAAATCCCAAGCCCCGGTGCTTCCTTTGGGTGGGCTGGTGAAGAGCCAGGTAGCCTTAGCATTAGCAGGTCAGCACTAAACACCAAGATACAGCCCTGACTGTGTAATTCTGTCAGCAGGAAAATAAACAGCAGGTGAACACCAGTGGATATCTCTCATCAGTACACTCGGAAGGTTATTTAAACATAGTCTGGAGACCTATTTATTCAATAAGGGCTGTAACTAGCCTGCAAATTAGTCTCAACACATCTCTCTATAGCAGATAGAAACGAGATTCCTTGGGAAAACAAACCAAACCAAACCAAACAAACAAAAAACCCAACAAAACAAACCCCCCCCCAACAAACAAAAAAACAAAACAAAACAAAAAACAAAAAAAACCCCACACCATCGCTGCTGACAGATGAATACTCTGTATCCAGATTTTAAAAATAAAGATATTAAATCTAAAAACAAGGGGGTTGAATGTAAATTCCTAACTCCTTAGTAAGAACTGAGGTAGGAGGGCCCAACAAAAAGCTCCCTGGAGAGGCGAAAAAACTGAAGAAACTACCAATACTAGAAAAGAAAGTCTGCCACTTGTAACTATGCAGGTACATCCACATTTCACAATGGGTCTGACAAAACCCACAGAAGAGATGGCAATTTTTTTGATTTACTTCGGTAGGCTTTGGGTCAGCTCTCAGATGCAGCAACCTCCCATTTTTATTTCTATTACCAAAAAAAAAAAAAAATTATGAACTCTAGTGTATGCGCTCCTCTCTTCTTTTGAACAGACTGCTGTTTCATGCCATCAATCAGACAAAAGAGAAATGAAACATTCTCATTATTATTGACAATGAAACAAGATTTGTCCTGCTCAGCCTCTTTCCCTGCTCTTCAGATTTAACTCCTGGCACAAACTTAATGAACAAAACCTGAAGCAAAGCAGCCTGTGCCAGACAACACATTCTAATCTGAAATTACATCTCCTGCTCTAACGTGAAAAAACCAAATCACCTTGGATAAAAAAACAAGCACACCTTCCAGATACACAGAGCTCAGGATTAGTCCTTACTTATTCAATAGTCAGAACCAACTGGCTGCTTTTGTCTGCTTTTATCAGGAGACAGTGCTCTGGGACAGCATGACTGCACAAGCTTACAAGTCACATAGCACTGGAGCTGGCCCGACTGGGGTTCTGTCTCACCTCTCCACACTGCAGAGTCTCAATTGCAATCAAGTGAAGGCAAGAGGGAAAAAACAAAATAAACAGTGTATATATGTTCTGGGAAGAAAAACATGCCCATTTGTTGTCGTGTTTGACAATTAATATTCAGAACATGCAAGCAGGGTATTGTGTTTTGAACAACCTCTCACTAAAAACAAAACCCATGCAGTTCATTCCTTACCTTCAACAGCCCTTTCGGGAAGTCTCTGCCATCATTCATCCCTTGGAGGTTAGCAATGAACTCTTGGCAGGTCATCTTTTTCCCAATGTTCTGGAAGGGATGGCAAAAAAACAGGGCATCATATTCATGCTGCTTTCCAAAATTACAATAAATAAGCAACACCAGATGAACTGCTTCTCCCTGTTCTCATTTAAGCCCAAGGCAAGCAGCACTAAGAAGGCATTCCCAAGATTGCTCAGAGACAGGCATCCTTTTGTGAATATAGTTAGAAAAAGAAAGTGCACTTGGAGCCCAAGTCCCACACACCCATCCGAAAAGAGAAACAGCTAAATACTGGAAGGTAATGAAGAAGCTAATGATGAAGCTCCTTGGTATATGCATGGTACTTTACATCCCCATGTGTCCAGAGGCTCTACCAGCCTCTAACAGAAAAGCTCTACTTGATCCTGCTGTGAGGCATAAGGAGAAAGCTGACTGAGGCCCCTTCCAGACCTTTGTCGTATGATTTCCAAAGCTCCTTTCCAGTAGCAACTCCCCTGAGTTGGAGTAAGATGCCCAGGAGCAGCCGCTTCCTTTCCTGAATCACAGGCTGAGGCTGTCTTGACATTTCCATAGGATTGCTCTCTTTTTTCTTTTTGTCTGTAATTCTCAGACTGAAAGTTGCCCAACTGAGCCACAAACAGGAAAGGAACAGCTATGTTCATGTAGGACCCTCACTGGTCCATTTGGAGGCTTGAGGCTGCCCTAAATGTTCTTGGATCCCAGTCTCCATCACCCCTCAGAGAAGACATCTGTAGTCAGTCCCCTGGGTGCTAGAAGTCCCACACTCGGCATGCAGGGAGCCTTGTGAGCAGGCAGCAACGACAACACTGAGTTGGTGAAAAAGGTACCCAGAGAGATCTGAGGAAAGGGAAGCAGCCTGGGATGAGCTGTGAAACATGGTAAAGGCAGAGGGAAAACAGGGACCTGTGATCACCATGGTATCTTTTGGGAATGACACTGCTGCCAGGCAGGAGAAGGGGGTGAAGATGACTTCTCCATGGTCAGGGTATGCCTTGGCTGCAGAAATACAGTGGAAGAGCTCTGTGCACAGACAGCGACTTAGGTTAGGAGCAAGAGCCCAAATTAACATTGGAGTGGAGCCCAAAGAGGGGCACCAGTCAGTAATACAGGTCACTCAGTGTTACAGTTACATGACAGCTTGGACTGCACATCATCTAATCCCCCTCCATAATGTATGATCAGGGAGACATGGAAAACCAGAAAACCTTGACCATCACCCTCATCTAGACACAAAGGAGGATACTGCAGCCTGTGGCCAGCATGGACCAGCAGAAAGAAGGCAGGGAGGACACTGGAATGATGCACTGCTTCCTGCACCGGGAAGGCTCCTGACAACACAGTCTGCCTGTAACTCTGGCTTTCTGGTTGCTAAGCTTGCAGAACACAGATCATAATTGCAGTCTTCGAATGCAGGCTGAAGCTGGTTCTAGCAGACTTGCAAATGCTTTCCTTCCTCCCTGCAACAGACTTCAGCCTGCTTCTGCTTGTTTCCTCCATGCAGCAGTTCACAGCTTCCCTGCACTGACCAAAACCAAGAGCAGTGTGACTCATTTCACCCACTGAGATAACTAGCATTGCAGAGGAATGGCTGTTTTGCTCCAGGACCAAAGCTAACATCACCACACAGTGCCACACAGGTTCAAAAAGATGTGCCTGGCAGTCTAAAGATACCTTAAAAGTCTCAGGCTGAGTGATGACCTCCCCACAGAGAAACAAGCATGCATTTCCAAGACACAGCTAGCAAAAATGATTTGGTTACAAAGAGAATGAAATGTGGCAAGACAGGGATAAATAAAGGGATAAGTAAGAGTTTGTCTACAAGAGTTAAGGAAAAGTGTGAACTGAAGGCAGAACAGCTGCACTAAAGCCCTATAAGCAGTTGAGCTTATTGTGAAATAAAAGTGTCCACACTTACGATCAGTATATCAGCAACAAATGGAGCTCAGTGTAGACAAGCCCTGTGACTCACTTGCTTCCTGCTCTAGCAGAATCATGTAAGGACGGGTCAGAGCATTATCTTTGTTAGGAAACAGGCAATTAGTATATATCTGCAAGGGGCTGCATTCCAAGTCAAAAATGCCCAACTTACCACCTATGTGGAAAATGGAAAGCAATAACAGGAAGACCAAAATTACAGGAAATCAGAGAGAGAGAGTGAGGAAAGGAGGGAGAAAGAGAGAGGGAGGGAGGGAGAGAAAGACTGAGGACACATGCAGGAGTCTTGCAAACATTACAGTTGTGTACACATAGCAATACACTAACTACTACCAGTACAATAAGGCTCCAAAGTTTCACACTGCAACAGCCAGAATCATCCTAGCTTCAGCTGCAAATCACCAACAGCAATGATGGGTCAGAGCCAGATCATCTACTCCACTACCTAATGAAGATAGTAGGGCCCTCTAAAGCATCACAGGGAGCGATGGGAAATGCTGTCAGGCTGACACACAACCATTTAGTTTCCCTCCCTGGAGTGCAAGGCCAGCCAGGCTGGACAGCAGGTGCCCCAAGATGCTCATCATTCTGGGGAGCAGGATACCTGCGCAGGCTCTCAGTTGTGCTCAAGAGAAACAGTGTATGAACATGGGGCACGTGGGGCCACCTTCCTGTACCTCTGCTCACTCTCCCATGGGACTGATGTGCTCCTCAGCTGAGGAAGGCTCAGCCTTCACACAAAAAAATTCTTTGCAACCTCCTTCCCCCTCCCGGTTCTACAATTTTCAGACAAAGGTATTCAATTAATGGGTGGTGGGCATCAAAACCCCTGGGGAAGTACACATAAACCTTGGCTTCATTACCTGCACCCACAAGGACCAAGTAGCCCTTGGAGACAGACCCAGGGTGCCTTCATTTCCTGCTGCCCAACCCTCCACCCTTGCTGCATAAGAGCTCCCAAATTAGGCCCTCTTGGAAGAGCCCCTGGCAGTCCTCTCAGCAAGAGAGAAGCCCTAAAGCCACCTGGCTGGAGCCACTGCTCCTGCATGCTATCATGCCATACTCCTGTGTTTTCCCCTCTTCATCCTGACTCCAGGACAGAGGAAGCCTCCCATCAGCATAGGAATATCATGCATAGCAGGCATATTGCACAATGGGTGCTGAAATACATGTCCCAGGGCTGCTGGCACCCCATACCAGTGTGACTAAGAGGACTCAAATTGGAAAACTACTTGCCCCTGGGCACGCCGTGGTGAGAGATACGCAGTGGGGGAACACTCAGGATGCCCATGTCCCTCTTCTGCTCTCTTGGCTCTGGGCACACCTGTCATTACCCTGGCTGAGTTCCACCAGATATCCCCCCTGCAACTGGATGCCTGCAAACATCATCTTCCCTTTGTGTCTTTCCAAGTACCTCTTCACCTCCTTTCTTCTGCCTTCCCAAAACTTTTTACATACTGGAAAGGGGAATCCAATCCCAACAACAGTTTCCTGGACAGGGTCAGCTGCTGTAGCCAGGGAAAGATGGGAAGCACAATAGAAAGACAGGAGAGTAAGGACAAGGACACATTATGGCAAATCCAGGCACAGTGCCGGCTTACACATGACTGATCTGGGCATGCTGGAAAGCCCTGCCTAGGACTACAGCCTGGGAGTGCAGCCTTCTCACTGTTTGCTGTCTGTCTGCTGTCTTCTTTTGGAGCGTGCCACCAGGAAGGGGATGCTGCTGCCAGAATACCACCCCCTCCAAGCACAGTGTCGACAGGAGCAGTCTACACAAAGCTGTGCATACTCACGTGGCCATGCAGGTCTGTGTTCAGCAGCATCATGGCACACGTGAGACAGTGAACTCCATCTGCAGAAAGAGATGTAACCAGAGTCACATGCAAACACACGACTGGACCTTTAAGAACAGCTAAAACTGAGCCTCATAGCCTAATTGAGTCCGTTCCCTTAATAAGAATCTGTTTTATCAAGAAATACACATAATTAAATAAATGAACAGTGAGGTCATCCCACAGCTGCCAAGCCAGAACAGCCTTTCTTTCATCTTTTAATGACTGTCAAAACTATTTTGTAGCACCCAAGGATGAGGCAAACTAGACAGGAAACCATGCTGTCACCCTTTGCTCGCTAATACCAATACCACAGCCTAAATCAACTCCCTCTTCATGTATTTCAAAGCAGAAACGGAAGAGTAAAATACACACATTCTTGTGTGCAGAGTGGATACAACATGGTATAATTTCCTCCTCTGCTGGCCCTCTCCTCATTCAGGGCTCAGTTAGACTGAATTTTGAAGAACTTCAGTCAGCTATTTATGCTGCCTTGGCTCCATATTTGGTCAAGAGTGCTACATTGATTTCTAACATGGTCCTGTAGCAAAGGCCATCAACGAGCCAGAAGAGACCAACTGTATCCCTAGCTTCATTCCTGAAGTCACTGTGGCAGACTTGAGAAAGTCAGTGTACACTGCCATTTGCAAAAGCAGACACCGATTTCATAGTCCTCATTTTCCAGGCACTCCTTTTAAAACCCAAAGCATATTGGCTGTGCAGAAATCCAGACGAAGGTGATAGTGCCCCTGGTGCCACCTATCACCTATGAAAATCCAAATGCCTCTAGCCAGTTTCCAAACATTAGAAACACGTTAGGAAAAATATCTTCTCCATTCCCTTGTTCATAAACACATGGTGACACCTTCCCTTCTCTCACAGGGGTGTCATAAAGACACAGATTCATGTATGAGACAGGCACACACTGCAGGGAGATGTACGTAAAAACCTTTGTAGCTGAGTCCAGATAATGGCTATGCACAGGACACTCCGTGCTATGAAGGAGAAGGAATGCGGGATGAGGATAGATGTATCCTACACTCAGTGTGACTAGCACAGGCTTAAATCTGTGCAAGATGAAGCCATTACAAAAAAATGTTTCCCAAGGTAAGGACCATGTTTTCTTATAACATTTGTATAGTCCTTAGCACCCAAGCAATGTGGCCAAACTGTAGCAGAGCATGAAATGAGAGAAGAACTATTATCACTAGCAGTATTAAGTCTGAAGCAGCTTGAATCTGGTGCTGTGGTGCTCCTGTTCAAGTCTATGCATTTATCTGGGGTAACCTGTCCTCTCATTTCCAAACTGCAAATGCATCCAGAGGAGGGAAAAAGCAAATGGGAAAAGAGAAAAGCAAATGCAGTTCTGGATTTCCACTGAAAGGAAAAGCTACCATATTTTTGCAGGGTAGCACTCAACTGCTGACAGCAGAAATACATCCTCAGCATTATGTAGAATCCCACGCAAAGTCTGCAGGACTCACTTTAATCTAAATGCCTACTCAGGTTCAGAAGTGGCAACGTCTCTCCTGCGCACTGGATTAGAGTAATGCTGTCACATCACCATGCAAGTCATTACTTCAGTTTGGACATGACACACCCTATATTCTACCTGACTGCCTGCAGTGTCTTGAAACAAGAAAGACCTTAGGAAGAGGACAGAGGTAGCATGAAAGAATATCCTGTCTTACTGATACCTATTCCCCTCCCTGGCATACCAGCCAGTAAAGCTGAACAGGAGCGAAGTGGATAAACATCATCTCACTGCAATGGGGGCAGTTCACAAAGCAAGGGGTAAGGCAGTGTGGCAGTACCTCCAAGTGTAGCAGCCCCTTCTCACTTACACTAGAGACTAAAGGCACAGCTTAGCCCACACTTACTTTCTTTATCCCCCTCTTTCCTTTCCCAGTCTGTGATCAGCCGACAATGCAATCACAGGGCCGCCTGCCTCTGCTGACGTATCTGGCTGAACACAGCAGCTACGCCAGTGGACAGTTCGTCCTTTTCTCCAATGCCAACTTTCTCAGGTCCAATCCATGTGCTTGTTTGTTTCCCCTATCCATTTCCAAAACAACGGAAAACATTGGCAAGGAGGCAGCACTCCAACTGAGGTTAGCTATTCAAGATGAAACCGTGCCAGGGTCTAGATACAGCACCCAAAATTCACCCCCACAACTGGCAAGAGCTGGCATGCCTGCTGCCAGTGCAAGCAGAGACACAAGCACTGAATGAATCACGGAGAGCTAACAGCTTCTCTTCCACCTGAGATGGAATTTATTCTCATCCACGTGCATGTAGATAAGAGTACAGGTACCCCCACATGGTGGAAGTCAGCGAGACCAGAAACCACAACTGACAGCATTCAAATCTGGAGATGCTACAACTTCGAATTTACACTGAGGAGGCCTGTCCTGGTTTCCACTGATATAGAGTTAATTTTCTTCCTAGAAGCTGGTAGAGTACTGCATTTTGGATTTAGATTGAGAATAATGTTGATAACACACTGATGGCTTAGTTGTTGCTAAGTAGTGCTTATCTAAAGTTAAAGATTTTTCAGTTTCCCATGCTCTGCCAGCAAGCAGGTGCACAAGAAGCTGGGTGGGAGCATGGCCTGGACAGCTGACCCAAACTAGCCAAAGCGATATTCTATACCATAGAATGTCACGCTCAGTATAGGAACTGGAGGGGATTTAGCTTGGGGGGGATCACTGCTTGGACAATGGTCAGCAAATGCATTGCACATCACTTGTCTTTTCCTGGGGTTTATTTATATTTTTTATTATATGCCTTTTCAATACAATTATTATTACTATTATATTTTATTACTGTCATTGTTACTATTTTATTTTTGTTATCAAACCACTCTTATCTCAACCCACAAGTTTTACATTTTTTTCCAATCCTCCTCCTCATCCTACTAGGAGCAAGGAGGACTGAGTGTGCAGCTGTATGGTGCTTAGCTGTTGGCTGGGGTCAATCCATGACAAGGCCTAAACACCTTTCCTAACTGGGGACAAATATAGATTTTTCACTGCCTTACCACAATTATATGCTGAGAATGTGGAAGGTTTCAATGTTCACCACAGGCAGTCTCTGAAGTGTGGCACAGCAGTTGCACGCCTTTAGTTCCCAAGCATGCACTGTACATGCTATTGAAGGCAAGAATGAAGAAAGGGGGAGACAACCAAACACCTTTGTATCATGAAACAGTTACCTTGAGAAGAAATGGTATTTGGATTGCACTGGTAGTATCTGCTGGAGAAGTGGATTAAAACTCTCTCTCGTTCTTGAGTTTCTCCAACAAGTGAAAAGGCTTTAAAGAAACTCCTAAATGAAGAGCAGAAAAAGGTGAAATTAAAGTAATAAACCTCTTTTTGACTCACACAGTGCACAGCACAAAGTACAATTCACAGCAAGATGTACATAAGTACACACCAGACATTTGGTTTCAAGAAGCCTTTCTAGGAAAATGTGCTATCATCCTGTGTGCAGTTATTCCCAACATTATAGTACATGAAGCAGGAGTTAAATTATCACTGGTCTTAGCCATGGAATACACAAACTAATAAGCAATTAGACCAGTTGAAAGAGCTGTTTCTATTTCTAAAATTTTTCTTTTCTTTAGAGAAGGAACTGGAGCAGGTGCTGTTTATACATGACAGACATCCAGGGTGTTCTCTGTTCTTTTCTAATTGTCTGTCACCCATGCACCTTTTAACTTTACACTCATTAGTATTCCCTTCCAAATCAGAGGAGCTACTCCAGGCAGCGAAGTCAAGCAGGTGCACTGTAGACCCAAAGCCCACACAAAACGTGCAGTCCTCCTTCCAGAAGGTCACCTATCAGAGCAGCCAGGACCACACCAGTCACCTTGCAGAGGGCAGTGTGACTATCTGACCTGCAGAAGACCACTGGGGAAGAGGGCAGGAGTGTCACAACATCTCTCACTGAGCTTCAACAGTGAGAGGAGCAATCTGGCCCTCCTGGGTTCCTGCTCATGACAGTCCAGGGCACAGGGCTAGTGCACACCTGAGCACGCTTGCTAGATCTAGACACAGCCAGCGAGCCTGTGCAAAGAGGTGGGACACAAACATCTTCCATTCTTCATCCAGTACTTAACCACCCTGTCTCTTAACCATGCCACTACCCCTCCTGCTAGAAAAATTCACCTCGCAGCCAAAGAACTTCTGCACTTCCCAAAATCCCCACATCCTGGAGCCAACAGATGACCTCAACAGCATCAGCCTACGCTCATTTGTCAGAATGCTTCTAAGAAAAGCAAAATGAGTACCTAATAGACAATTTTAAAATACCCCACAAGACTGAAACTAACACCAGATCTGAGAGGCATGGAATATGTTGCTGGAACATTCACATCTCTCTAATCTGGACTAAAAAACTTTATTTTTTTCTCTTTGATGTAAGGTCAGAGACAGGTTGTACTTGCAACGATCTCACATATACAGAGTGTGATCTGCCCAGTAATAACTTAATTTCACATGTAATGTATTGCAAATAACCTGATTCACAAGTAGATACAACTCAGTCTTCATAGAGTTCCTCTCCCCTTCCTATCTCCTGCCCCAATGGGACATTTTGACAACTAGCCATCTTTCCTCCTCCTTCTCCAACTCAGGCTCTTTCCAGCAACACCCCCTGCCCACGCCAGGCACCACCAACCCACAACCTCTCCTCCTCTTCAGCACCTTTATCCCGCCTGGAAGCCACCTCAGAGAGGCAACTGATGAAACAATATTTGGTAAATAAACAAGGCAGGTTCCTTGCTCTCAGAGCATGACGGTGCAGCTGAGGGCCACGGGGGAGAGCTTCTGCCCACAGGGAGGACCAGGATGGACTCTGAGGGGGGCTGGAGCAGCAATCCCACCTCCTTCCCTCTTGCAGTCCTGTGAGAGATGCATTCAGGAGATACATGGGAGGAATAGGTCCAGGGTATGGAAGCAGAGCATGACAACGAAGGAAAAACCCTCCTCATGTCCTGTGGATAATGCGGGTCTGGGCTGCCTCCGTGGGTTCCAAAATGCTTAACAAACGATAGCTTGTCAGCAAGCCAGCAGCAACAGGGCCATTACCTCTTGCTCTCTGCAAGCATGAGGCAGCACACCTCTGCTCCCCCAGGCTTCAGGACGATGCTCCATCCATGGCCTCTGCTGCACACTCATGTCATGCAGCCAGCAGTTGATGCAGCTACTCCTGAAACCTCAGCAAACGCCTGGTATGTCTAAGTCCCACACGACTCAGGGCATATTTTAAAGAAGGTCATGACTATTAATATTAACAGGAGATCTACCGGGAGCAGAGACCTCCTAAATATGTGCCACAATGCAATTAGGTGTTGGCTTTCACAATTTAAAAGATCAGTATATTTAGCATCACACTTCAGGGCTGCTGAAACCCGGAATGAGCAGCAGACCTTCCACTCTCATGGCTGCTCCCGCCCTGTGCTGAGCGGGTGCTCCAGCTCAGCCCCACTGCCCCTGTCACAGAAGCAGGCAATTCACTCTTTCACAGGCACATTTCCTTTCCAATGCTTTCAGCAGGCAGGAGTCCGGGCTTTCCTTGGAGTCTGCCATGGTATCCTGGAGTCAGCCGCCTGGAAATGCACTTGCAAGGAGACTGGCAAGTGCCTGTGGACCTCCTGGCTTCGTATCATTATCAAAAAAACCCAGTAACCCACTTCAGTAACCTCGGCCAGATGATTTAAACTCACTTTAAAACCCTTTAAATACCAGAACACCGGCAACCATGCTAACAGGTCTCTGCTACACAAACTTGGTGTTCTGCCTCCTAAGAAAAAATGTACTGAAAACAAACACTGTTGAGGCCTGATTCCAGTGTAAAAAGGAAGGAAAATTAAAGGGCTGGGTTTTCAAACACCCACGCTGTCAGCTACCAAACTCTCAGCAGCATTTTCCATGTGGAAGCTTTTGCTGTTCTGCACATTTTTGGGTTCCTCAGAGGGACATGGTGAGGGGGGCTGCTGAGCCACTTCAAACCCTGGCCCTGGCTTTGGGCACCACAGCCAGGTAGAGCAAGATCTAAAAGGCGTCAGTCAAAAAGTCTGTGCAGCTCAGCTGGAAGCAACACCTTCATTCCTCAGAGGCACCTGGCAGACTACGTGTTCCCTGCTGACCGAGTGACTGCTCATTTTTCTCATATCCTCCGCATCAAGGACTGTCTCTAAGCAGGTCTACCCAAAGATTTCCCTCTCCAGGAAATGCCACCACTCCAATAGCACTCTGTAGTATGACAGCACACCAAGCCAAACAGAGGATAAAAACTCTGTCCCAAAAATGCATTACTCTCCTCTCTTCACTCTCTTAAGGAAACCACTTCAATCAGGACAACACAGCAAACAGTACCCTTGCTAAAACAAGAACAGAATGTCTGCAAACAGCCATGTACCTGAGAGAGTAGTCCAGCGTCATGCCTGTGAAGTCAAAAAACTTAAGGTATTCTTCGGCCACAAGCTTGCTGAATTCGTTGCTTTAACCAAACAAATAAATAAGTAAAGGTTACTATTCAAGAGTGAACCCCTCCAGAACCAGCAAGAACAAAAACATGGCCAAAGGCCTCATATCAGCACATACTTTTTACCCAAATGCTTTGCCACATCAGAGCGTTTGAATCTGTCCAGATGGTAGAGGCGCTTAGCCAGACGCCTGGCTGCTTCCAAATTGCTGCTGTTGCCATTGCTGAGATCATGGCCAAGGTCTCCGGTGGCATCTTTCTCCTGAAGTTCATTGCTCCCCATGGCAGCACTGGAGTCTAACACCATATTCTGCAGTTCAGCATTTCTATGAGACAGGAAGAATATGGAAAGAAAAATAAGATAACATTACAGCTTAAAGAAGGATTTAATTCCTCTTAGAATAGAAGACCATTAATGGTACAGAGGCAAGATTACACAACATAGCAAATTCCACTTAATTGAAGGAACTGTATAGAACAGGGACGTTTATTTAGCAGTTTATCAGAGGTCAAGGGAGTTAAACACAGAGACCCAAATATGGACCTTCCAGCTCAGAAACACATTCTGCTCTGCACTCACCTTCCGACTATGCTGAGTGTCCACAACTTGTGCTCACTTCAGAGAGCTGTTTGCTATTATCAGCCTACAGCTGCACCTGATAACACTGGCTCCTCATTTGCTTCTTGCACTAGTATTTTTCAGCCCAATCACTTGCTTGTCTTGAAAGGTTCCCTGTAAAAGTAGGCCATTAGCCATTTTCCAGGGGAAAATACAGCAAGCAAGCCAGGGTATTCAGTAGCTCCAAGCTGATTCGGCACAAGTCCCTTCCTCATTCTTACCCAGTTGTCCTGGAAACAATACAACTCCCCAAATCTAAAATAACATCCGCAGAAGTCTCAGTGGCTTCCGTGACGCCCGTGAGCAGCAGGCATCCCACTGGGAGGCACCACTAGAAAAAGCAGAACTTGGAGCAAGGAACTCAGTTTGGGGAATGGGAGAGAGACACAAGCCACCCAGGACAGCCTGGAAAACTGCTTGCTCCCCTCCTGTTCCCTCATGGTGGCAATAATTTCCCTCAGCAGCTGCTCAAAGTCAGGGTGTTCAGCATCGCAATCACAGGGCACTTTACATAAATCATGCATTTATAGATTCCTCCCACCCCTACTACAGTAGGAAAGCTCTGGCTGAGCTGTGTGCCTGCTTTGCTTCTTCCCTCAATGAGGTAAGAGCCCTCCACACCAGAAAGCACACCCCTACACACACACCCCTGCACACAGGCAGGCTTTCAACTTTGGAGAAGCTTTTCTCTAACACTGCCATGTAAATTCTTGCAAAATCTCAGCTCTATGTGTGTGTGTGTGTGTGCTCGTGACAGCATTTCTATTTAAAAAAAAATACAGAGAAATTCTTTACACTAAACCCTCGTTTACACAGGGCTAATGAACAATCAGCAGGGGTCATGCACAGGGCAGATATGAGTGGAATTAGTTAAAGATGATTTTAAACGCAGCACTTCAACATACCACGGTTTCATACAGCACTGTAATCTTCGGGCTTGACAAGCCACGGTCAGAACAACCGATCATTGCGCTCCAGTAACAATTATCTAGCCATCGACTGAAGTGTCTGCTAGCCATTTATTAACCCTCTGAAGATGAGATTTTCATACAATGTGAGCTTAAAATAAAAATCTTTGCTATTCTGCATGCCTCCTTCCACACAAATCATCACCTGTGCCCTCTCCCTCTTCCTATGCATGGTTTAAGAGAAGGAGGTATGCAGTACTCCTGCAGGAAGAAGACTTGCCTGTTCCACCTCTGTTTCCACCCTCCTAGTGCTGCTAGAACACCAGAAGTATCACACATCCACACTGTGGGTACAACTTTTGCTATCAAGTACCTGGGGAAAACTGACATCTAACTTGTTCCTACAAGTACTGGGGACTTGATTTTGCATGTATTTCAGCATAAATAATAAGGTCCTATAACAAAAGGGGCTCAGTGCTCTAGTTTGGAATTAATACTCTAAATAAGACTCCAACAACATCAACATCACTGACCACCAGCTACTCTAGAAAACAAAAAAAGCCCCTCCTCAAATGGGAATGTCTGAAATTCTCTAAATTTGGTCTACTCCGAACCTGTGAAGACAGCAAATTCCAGAGTCCTCTGACATACACCCCAAGCAATGCTTTGTCCATTCAAACCAGGCGTGACTGTTTCCAAACTCCCAGCTCTGACAACTGACAAGAGAAAAGATAACCAGGTGAGCTAACACATCTACAGAGCCTTCCATGTACAAATGCTGCTTCGAAAAGCATGCCAGCAAGCAGAGCCTCGCTCATAAATCACAGTCCTGTTTCACCACTGCTCTTTATTAAAGGCAATATTTATAGTCCTGAAAGATGGCCAAAGCTGACAAGAAACATCTGCACCCTGCTAGGACCCAGTGCACTATGAGAGTCAACATTACCGCAAACCACCGTAAGTTTAGAAAGAAAGGAAGTGCCAGCATCTGCCACTTAGTGAAATAAACAGTACAGCAGCTCCCAGCTTCTGTTTTGACTCTTGGAGCAGCAGCTGGGATGTAAAGGAGGAACACCCAGCAAGGAGATCATGGTCTTTCCCCTGCTCACCAACACTAGCTGACAGAGCTGTGTAAGAAACCTCATCTTACAACCTCCCTGATTTAAAACTTCATCCTGACAGGGGGTCCCTGTACATGTATCAGGTCAAAGAATAAGGGATGCTTCCTCCAGTTATTCTGACAGCTAATTAGCTTGTTACTTAATAAGTACAAGAAGGCAATCAAATCAACAATATAGGTTGTCTGTGACATAAGCCTCTGTTCAGGGAAAATGCCAGATTGTTAACATTAAAGTGAGACTTTGGTTCTCAAGTTTTTTAGGTGGTGAGAAGACTCAGTGCCCACGTCACTGAAGGCTTAAGAAATGCAGACACCCTGTGCATGATTACTGCAAGCTGCCTTCTGGACAGGTCATTTTAGCAGAGTCCGGAGGGGTGTTACTCAGAGGAAAGGCTGATACATCTTCTTACCTCCAAGTCTTTCTAGATGCACCATTTTCCTTCTGTGCCTGTTTCCCCAGCCACTGAACGCAGATAGTAATACTTGCCTCCCTCTGTAAAGTGTTTATAATGGACTCTAATCAAGGGCTAGGAGTAACCACGGCTGCAAATAGGTCTGTCTTCTGCAGTCTACAGATTCTACGCTGACAGTCCACAGCAGCGTAATCAGCTAAAGAGAGCCAAGAAAGGGCTTTGTGATGCAGAGCAAGCCTAGACATGGATTTCTCATGCAGCTTTTCTCTTTATCACATAAAAATGAGAAACCTCCACTGACAAAAGTAAACTGAAAATTTAATGGATTATATTCCCCCTAATCCTGGATTCAAAATCAAAAGAGACTGTAACGATACTACTGGTAATTGCCTGTACAGCAATGGCTGCTGATTTTCATCCAGAGGCTTTTACATTAATCTCTGCTATCAGAAAGCACAGAAAACAGAAACTACAAGACACAGACCCCTTTGGTCTCACAGTGCATGAGCTGTGGCCAGAAAGCAGGTTCTCAGACCTTCTTATTTCTATCCCCAGCAATGTACTTCTGACACATCCTCCCTCCTTCTGCCAAAGCATCCCCTGGTTCACAGTGAAGGCACAGAGGCTGTGACCATCATATCCAGCAGAAAGTACAGCAATTCAGTAAACAGCTGCTATGATAAATTCCATACCTTCTACCAGCAGCAGCTGCCCCTTCACACTCACAGATGAAACACAGACTGAAAAATCTGTAAAACTGGTTTCCTGTAACACACCGTAACAGCTAGGCAGACTCTGAAACCCAGTGGGTTTTTTTCACTTATTCCATTATCAACCAGGTATACAATGATTTAACTCCCAATGCCAAGGTATCTCAAATTGTGTCATGTTCAGCATTTTGCACACTTGCTCTGTTTAAGAATATTCTAGATTCACTTATTCCCCCTGTCCTCCATTGTGGGCTTCACCAAAATTGAAACCCTCCACTGCAACTATGGCTGCAACTTCCAGTCAAAAACAGAGCAAGGCCAGTAATGGTAAGGATACAGGCACCTCCTATCTCAATGGTCCACTCCCACAGTTTACAAGGCTGCAAACTGGTAACCTCAGCATGAGTACCTGCAGATTCAGGTGCCTTAAACCTTGGGATGTTCTTCCTTTTTTAGCAAATCCATGGGGAAAAAAATTCTCTGTTTAGTCCCAAGGAAGAAAAGCACGTTAGCATTTTGCTTTATGGGAGAAGAGCTCAGATCCAGCACAGAGCAACTACCCCAGACACTAACAAGGAGATAGTGTTCAGCATTGACACTGAGTGGCAGGGTGTGACAACTCAGCCCAAGTGCTGTCCTCATCCCAGGCACATCAGCAATCCACTGCCTGAAGTTCTTTCCAGACCGAAGCATAGCATATGCCATGTAGCACACACTGTGTGGCACACAGTCTCCCCTGGATGCACATGGGGCTCCTTCCCCAAGGAACACTAATCCATCCGGCATCCATGTCTGGAGGGAGTGCACTGGATGCACTGATTTCAGGTGGAGCTTGGATAAGACAAGGCTGGGACCTTCCCAGGTCTTTTTGAAAAGAGAAGAGAAGGAAACAGGTGAAAAAACATTTTTTTCTCTCAAATAAATCTGCATGCCTTTAACATCAGCTTTACCTCAAGGCAGGCTAAGTCAGACATTTGCCAACAAAGTCCATCAGAGCAAAATGCAGCAGTGATTAAAAATAAGGAAGGGTGGAGAGGCATTCTGGCATGCTGAAGCTAGGGCGAGAACAAATGTTGTTTTCAGCAGGGGTACAGCATCTGCCAGGGAGCCATGCTGGGACTGATAATCACCCTCTGCAGCACTGTGCTGGCCCTGTTGTTTTAAATGCCTTCACTCCAAGCCGCCTTCTCCTCCCAGTTCTGAAACAGAGAATATCATCCCCTCAACCGTAACTATCAACTCTGGATATGAAAAGCATGCTCTATTTCTAGTTCAGCAGCCCCTCAGCAGCAGCTCTCACCTCACAGTGTGGCACGGACATCAGAAAGGCTGAAGCATTCTGATGCCCAGACTGCAGTGGGAAGCAGACCTCCCTCTGAAAAAAGTCCTGCCCTGAGGGAACGAATCCCTGCCCCACGAACCTTTAAGAGAGCCGTGGATGTTCAGCCAGTGATACCCTTCTACATTTCAGAGCTTGACGAGAAATGATCAGTGGCACAGCCCGAATTTTGTTTCAAGGGATCTAAAAAGCCACACTTGAGCAGCCTGGCTCTGAA